TCAATACTTCCACAAATCTAAGAGACACAAGTGCCAAAAGCCTTCAGGTAACTTGCAGTATGAACAATAATGAATTACATGTACATAAAATGAGTTCATGTTGGTTTACACTTACAAGGGCAATAAGTCTTCCAGCCAAATTGAGGATACCAGCCATGCAAATTCATCAACAGATCCCAAAGAGCCTTTATTTTGACCGGGGTAGTTTCTGACATTCCTTGACCAATGGCCTAATCTTTGTATTTGTAATCCTAATTTAGCAGGCTGAAGAGTTTCTGGAAGGTGCTAGGATGTTCAGGTAGCCCCCGTTTGCTCTTAAACTGGCCTGGAATTCCCTCTTGCCAAGAGTACCTCCTCCCTGCTCCCCAGAGCTGAGCGCTCAGTGCCATTTGCTATTGACTCACCTCGTGGTGACTGAGACCTTATTTTTACAAGAGAGATAAAATGACATTGAGAAAGAGCCCAGACTGTGGGGAAAGCAGGGGAGGGAAGAGCAGTTAGTGATGCTATATATAAAATAACAGTTCAATGCTTGGCCGCAATAGGTGCTCAATAAATGTCATTCTTATTATTTACTATTGTTGTTCTGCAGTGGTTTATCACATAATAATCTATATGTAAACCTGGACTTGACTTAGACACAAATCCAATCTCAGGGGAGCACCACCTGTCCCTGAAGGGTTTGCTCACTGCTGTAGACCCCACCTTTCAGGTCCAGATATTCTGATTCATTTGTGGCTAGGATGACATTTTGACACGAGTCTATGTCCTTTTACTCTCCTCCTCCAACCCCACCCAAGCAGGTAGCCTCCTTTGAATGTTGTTCTTTTGTAGGAATGGGTAAGACAAGAAGCCTGCAAGTCTTTCTGCCTTTTGTTTACCCAGAGCCAAAGTCTCAAGAAACAGGGGGGTTTGCAAAGAAAGAAAAAAAGGGTTGGCAAGAGACATAGTTTCTTGGCCAGAAGTTGGGGAGAGGGTGGAGGAACAGCACCTTTGCCTCCCCAACCAGCTAAGCAGAAGGTAGTTCCTCCAAGATGGGGTGGGGGTAGGGGGTGGGGAGTTTGAGCTCAGTGAGTCCTGCCAACCCCAGGGGACGGAGGCCTGAATAAAAGGTTTTGTAAAGTAGTATTTCATGCATACCCAAGTGTGTAAAACCGAGACCCATACATTCTCTCTGTACTCCACCAGGTGTGAGGTATACATCTGTGAAAAAACCTGACATTATCCCTGCCTTTGGGCAGCTTATAGACAATAAACAAGCAAACACATTTGTAATTACAAGACATAGCAAGTGCCATGGAGGGAAAGCAGAGTCACAGAGAACATTCAGGTGGCAAACTTAAGGTTGTGCTCCATGAGGAGGGGACAATGAAACAAAGACCTAAAGGAAACAAAGACTCAGCCATGCAACCTGGGGTGTGTTGGGAAAGCAGGGGAGGGAAGAGCATTCCAGGCGGAAGGGGGCAGGAAAGGCCTCGAGGCAGAGATCTGCATGGATCTTTGGGTGCTAAGGATCTGGATGGAGTTTTTCTGTAGGATGTGGCATCACTGGAACCTGCTGCCATGAGGGGACAGATTTACAGTGATTAGACATGAACCAGGGTGGGCATTCTAGAAGGTCTAAGAGGCAATATGGCTTAGGGAAAACACAGAGATCCTGAGTTTGAAACCCAGCATCCCCTTGGTGAAAACCACCTTCCTTAACCTGAGCCTCAGCTTCCTTACCTGTAAGATGTACACCTGTAAGGTGTACAACCCTTCCTGCAGGGTTGTTTTGAGTATGATAATGTCAATTAAATGATTTGTACAAAGACCAGCAAATGGCCGTTATGGTGATACTTCCCTACTGTAATCTTCCCCATCCTTCAGGACCCAGCTCCTGGATACCTTTTTCAACTCCTCAATGAACTGTAAGCTCCTGGAAAGCAGGAGCATATCTGATTCATCCTTCTACCCTACCCCCACCTTGTCATACAAGAGCCTGGCACACTTTAAGAACTCAATAAATGTCTGCAAATTGAAGGCAAGTGCAAAAGTAATTATAGTAACTAATAAACTGAAGAATGTTTTTGTAGAGGACAGAGAAGTCATGAGTCCAAGATGATCAAATGACAAAGGATGGGCCAAGAAAAGACATGCATGTCATGGCTTGCTCACATCCCCAGCAGGGGAGCATGCTGGAGAAATATCTGCTCCTAAACACGGGCAGTCAGATACAGGCTTTCCCTCTTCTGATTACAAAGGGCATTTCTAGGCAACCAAAGCTGTAATACCAACATGCAGGGTTTTTTAACGAGCGTTTATTTCATGCTTTATGGCTCACACAGCACTTCCATGTACGTTATCGCACTCAACAATTTTGTTGAGTTACTGACTGGTCTCAGCCCCTCGCTGTACATGGAGGTGCCACGGATCAGCAAGGGCAAGCTACTTGCCCATGATTAACTAGTGAGCTGCAAAACTCAGGCGTTACCCTGGATGTTTTGATCTAAATCCACTGTGCCTTTTGCATATGACCACCACCCCAGCTCTTGAGCAGGGAGATGCAAATACTGCTCTCATCTAGAGACTGGCAAAGCCTAACACACCAAACTGCAGCTGCCAGTCCAGACACAGCCAGCCCCTCTGGGCAGAGCCTTCTCAGAAGCCACTGCAGAATCCGGGCAGGAGGAGGAGCAAGTTGGCACCCTCACTCCCCATGAAATGGCTCATCGGCAAAGACAGACCCTCCCCCCCATTGAGAGAGATGGTCTGTCAAGCTAACCCACTCCCCCACCTTCCACTTAGGAAGTCTTGTTCAGGAATCAATGTTTATACCACTCAGTTTGGCCACTAACCCTCTCACCCCCATCCCAGAGCTTCATCTAAATTTTTCAAGTATTATTTTTGAATCCTTACACATTCAGAGGGTTTTTTAATATTTTAAATAAAAAGTTAAAAAAACAATACTATCTCTGCTTTTTTGCCTTGTTCTCATCTTGGTTCCCCCCACCACTTTTTATCCTTCTAGAATTTATACAGCTAGAAGCAAACATGAATACATATATTGTATCCCCTCCTACCCTCTTTCTACAGAAAATGGAGCATAGTGTTATGTACAGTTTCAGGGAAATGAATCCTTTCTCTCTGTCCACTGCCTGGGGCCTCCACTGCCAGCAAGCTCAAAGCCAGGAGACCATCAATAAGCACTTGTAGGAGGGGAAAGGCCAGACTGACTGGACAAGTTATCTCTGGAGACAGTCCAGGCTGTGAAAGGCAGGTTCTTGGTGACCGACATCCTGCACAAGTGTCAGCAGCCAAGCAGTCCCATGCACTCTGCATGCAGCAGGGTTTGAGAAGGTGCATCCTGGCCCTTTCTCCTAGTGCCAGACATTTCCAAGAGCGGTGATGGCCTCACCCTAGAACACTTCCTTCACAGGCAACATCAGCACCTCTCTCCTGGGTCACGGAAGAAAAAGCACCCACAGGACGGAGTGCAGAGGACTTTGTTGAATTGTTAAAGAAAACAAAGATGCTCATAGAGATCTAAGGCCCAAAGAAATGCAAGAAGCTCCTCTTCAACTGGCCCAGCCTCACACTGTTTCCAAATTACCCTAAGGTGACTGGGCATTATTCTCCCTAGGTGGACCTTGAGCTGATGGGGCTTCTGAGGAGGCGCTTGTAAATGGGCCTGGCCCCCATCAAAGGCAGCTCTGGGCCAGAGGCTGGGGAAGGCCTTCCAGCATCAGCTCTTGTTTGCAGATGGTGAATTGCCGATGGGGAAGGGGGTGTGCACACTGCCAAGAAAGCAGACTAATATTTTTGGACTAAAATTTTAATTTGCTTCAATTAAAAATTCAGGCCAGCTCCAAGCAAAACAGAACTGGGTGAACTTATTTTGTGAACCTCTGCAGAGTCCTTTCTGGGCTCCTCCACCCCTCCTGCAGGTCCCTTGGTGACCTCCACCCTGGCCAGCATTTCCCAGCTGACTGGTTCTGAGATGCATACCATTTCCTCCCCTGTCTCCCACCAGATCAGATGGGGGCCCTGCTGGGGAGTGGAGAGAGAAAAACCATCTGGATCCAAGAAGCAGGAGAAACCCACCTCTAGGGCCTCAGCACCAGTCTTCCAGGTCTAGATCACATCTATACACTGAGGGCTCTTTTCTTAAACTAACTGGCTCTGTATCTTGTGATCAAAGGAGTGCAGGAAGACTCGGGAAGATCAGTTTTTTAAACAGCGCATGTACCATAGAAAGGGCTCACTAAGCCATGGCTGCTAAGATTATTACCTTCATCCTTACTGAGAGGTATTCCTCTGTAAATCTTCAAGGGAGCTTTAAATACTGGCCTCCTCACCACCCCTTCCTAGCAGTCCTGGCCCAGAGAACATATATTATGAGTCACTAGGAACCCCTCCTACCCTGACATGCTCTGATGGGCTTTGTGGTAGGACCTGTGTCCTATTCATCTGTTAAGTGAAGGAATAAATAAATACATCCATTCAGTGTACGTATGAATTAATACGTGAACATGTTTTAGGCCCGGAACAATGCTGATCCATCCAGGGGTTAGAAGAGGCAAGAGCTTACGGGTGGACCCCAGTGACCTCGGAGCCTTCTCCCACCTGGGGCCTCACAGTTTCTTCTTGTCAGAATCCAGGGGCCTATAGTACTTTCGGTCCATCATGAGCAGGCCCTGAGGCTGAGTGACTGTCCTCCGGTGGCACTGATTCTTTCCCACCTGATTCCATCTTCCTAGGCCCCAGGGTTTGCAGAGGGTTGGCTGGGTCAAGGGAAGAACTGGGCCCCAGTGTGGTTTAGGTCTTCTCCAGCCTACTACCCCTCCCAACCTCCCTGAAGACCTCACCTGGAGTAACCCCAGTCCACCATAAAGAAACCACCCCCCTCACTGGGTCCACACCTTCCAAATCCTTCTATGTTGCCCTTTCCAATAGTAACAGACAGGAATTCCAGAAACACAGCAGTCCTCCAAATTTGGGGATGCAAAAATGTATTAACTTTTTCTCTGTAACACAGCTTTATCCTTGTAACAAGCCCCCACTTCTAAGCAACAGAAAAGTTAATCTGGTAACATTCAAGTGAAGTCATCCCCATCAGTGGTTTAAAGTCAATCAATTCAAATCTAATTTGGTCACACCCCCATTTGGGAGTCGGGCCTAGCCCATCCTCCCGCTGGCCCTCCTGCCATGATCCCAGCACACTCTCAGCAGATTTCCGTGCCCCACTGGGGGCCACATGATCCTCTGGACCCCTGCCTTTCTTCAGTCAAGAGAATGGGCAACCGTCACCAGCCCTCCGGTGTCAGGTCCTTCCAAACTGTCATCTCCATCTGCCCTGGTCGCATGAGGAGCATCAGACAGGTCACTGTTCTCGTTCCAGCCAGGGAGCACGGCACAGGGACCCCCACCTTGAGAGTTCCCCGATGTCAAGAGGAATTGTCCCTATACTGCTTCTAGCTTTTCTCTAAAAATTCTCCCCTCTCCCCACTATAGAGTTCTTTATCTATTTATAGTCCCTTTTAAATCTCTTACTGCTTAGCCCTTTCACTTCAAACCTAAAGATGTGGAATCTTTGCTCTCTCCAGTTCAACTGAGAGGGGTGAAAAAAAACCACCCAGGTATTAGTTAATACCTCGCCTAACATCTCACCACACATTCAAGACAAAGAGGGAGAGAGAAGAAAAAAGGAGGGGTCTCCTGCAGCTCACATAACCTAACACTGCAGGAGTATCTGCCTCCCGGCACAGCTGGACCCAGGGACTGCAGAGACACCCCCATACCAGCCCTTCCCGCTCCTTCTCATCCTTGTCTTCCTCTCTCTTGGCTCCACTTTCAGGAAAGCTCTCCTTTCATGGCAAGCAGCCCCAGGCCTATCCTCTCAGCAACACTCCTGGTGGAAACCCACCTCTTTCTTGGTTCTCCAGCCAAAGGCCAGAACTGGGCCTTGGTACGTCAAACCCAGTCACACGGGCATTCCTGAACCAAACACCATGGCCATGGAGGTACAGGAGCCCAATCAACCCAACCAGGCCACCAGGCTAAGGGAGGCAGTGCTGAGAGAAAAAGGCGAGAGCAGAGGCCAGCAGCTGCCAATCTCTCCCTCCAAAGGCCGCCTGCACACATCCACTGCCCGGACACCCTCTCACATTCAGCTCCCAACTGCCAAAGGCCAGAGAACCCATTAGTTCCCGACTGTAATTCCAGCAAGTAAAACTGAACTGGCCCAGTTATTTGTTAGGCAGTAGTTTCCATGCCAGGCCACATGACAAGCGCGGCTGGCTGAGGCCTGGTATCCACAGTTCAGGAGTCTTACTTGGTCCCATCGCTGGGCAGAGCAGGGATGGAGACAGGATCTCAGTACCTGTAAGGCTGCCTGGGCTGCCGGTGGAGGAAGAGCTATGGGCAGGGCACTTTCTGTTAGAAGAGGCAGAGGAATGGCAGGCCTCGTGAGTGACACTTCTAAGTATACCCATTACATCTGGAATGGCAACCACTTTATTGATACCTGAGAAAAAGTACAGAAGAAACCTTCCTACTGACCCCTTGGCCTGCCCCTCGGGCCAGATCATCCAGAGGCCAGACCACTTCTCTCAGCCTTCCCTTGAGCCATGAGTCCTGTGGGGCCTCCCAGGCCAGCGCCCGAAGGCTGGAGAAGTCCTCGGTCAGAGTTTGAGAGACCATCTGCAGCCGTGGCTCCTGGGAGGCCTCACCGGTCAAGGTCTAGAGCCTCGTGGGTCACAGTCCGGAGTCCAATGGAAAACAACTCCTCCCAGGGCTCCCGGATGGAGGCCAGCAGGGCCGTCAGCTGCTCCTGACACACGACACGGAGTGCCCAAAAACTCTCCAGCCGGGACACCTGGCAATGCAAGCAGTAGTGAGGGGACACTCACAGAGGGCCACACAGAGGGAGGGAGGGAAGGTGCTGGAGAGGACCCGCCACCCCTCCCTGGCGCATGGCCGCTCCTTTCCCAAGTCTCTGTCACTCCCCAGAGATACTGACTTTGAGCTTTTTAAACAGAACCCAATCAGCACTAACTGAAGATCCTAAGGGCTTCCATGTTTCCTACTTTGGTTCTTTATCCTTCCTGGTTTGCAGAATATAAGTTCTGGAGTCAATCCCAAGGAATCAGCTGGAGTCCAATTCCCGGCTCTACCATGTGTGACCTGGGCAAATCCAGTTCATGTTCCCCAAGCCTCAGTGTCCTCATCTAGGATAACGGCACCTCCTCACATGCAGGTTGTGAAGTGCAAATGGTTGGCACACAGGGCCCATCAAACAACACTCCTTGCTGCCGGGCGCCTCACCAAAGGCCTTCCCACTAACACAAGGCAGGGCTCCTAACCTGCGGGGGCTCCCACTGCTGGCAGCCATCTCCCTCCCCACCTGCTGCTCGTCCAAACCCGGTGAGCCCCCCAGTTCCCTGTACCCTACTCTGTATTCCCTCCACCATGACTGCCCGTTGCAAGTTCACACCCCCCCAACTGCAGCCCTCCTAGCTCCACTTCCCACACTGCCCACCTCGGCTCCCATCCACACACACTCACACTCACACTCACACTCACACTCTCACACGCACCTCGTCGTAGAAGATCAGCTTCAGGTCCTCCGGGGCCTGGCGGTAGAGCAGCACTGAGCTCAGGCTGCTGAGGGGCTGCTGCCCCCTGACGCTCACGGAGGCACCCGGCCCCGAGGGCAGAGCCTTCTCAGAGGCTGCACCAGATGCTGCTGCAAGAAGGGGCTCTGCCTGGGGCCCTGCGGAGTCTTCCTCTAACAGGTACAGGGTGGACAGAGTCAGCAGCAGGGACACAGGACACACTGCGGGGCCTGGAAGGAAAGAGACGGCGAGGCCCAGAGTGGAAGGCCACGGAGGAGCCCATCCCATGGCTCAAGAGGAGCCAACCACACTCTGAGGGGCCACGCTGAAGGGCCCAGGCCAAGGCCCTCCCTTTTCCAGACTCCAGCCATCTCTATTCTCCAAAATCCCTGAGGCCCAAGACAAAGGGAACCTGCCACCCCCACCACTCCACACAGAAAGTGGATTCACTGGCCGCCTCTGACAGGATGAGGCGGAGCAAGCCCAGTCCGCTCCACTTCACAGGCAGCCTGCATCTGAGAGCAAAGTCCTCGGAGCGACTGAGGACCCAGGGCACCTCCCGGCCCCACGCAGAGACGCCAGGACACCGAGGCTGCCGTTCAGGTGTGCCAGACACTGGGAGGAAGCCAGATTCCAGGCACCGAGAACTGCTACAAGGGCACGTAGAGGCCCTGGAGGGCCGAGACAAGATGGGGAGGAGGCCTCACCTTCCACCAGGAACACTCGGAGGTAGAAGAACCAGGGAGGCTCTGAGGAAAAGTCTCTTTCCAGCAACGGCCTGCGGGGAGGAGCGGGCAGTACATGGAGGTGGGGAGAGCAGGGAGGAAGGAGCAGACTTGCGTCGGGAAGTACGGGCATGGGGACAGGTGGCAGGCCCAGGCACTCAGGACCCAACCATGCCTGGGGCTTGTGGAGAGAGGGCCTGTGCTCCGAGAGGGGCCATCCAGGCACCGATCCCAGCCCTGGCCTCCTATTGACTCACCAGAGCCAGTGCTTTGGGGTCACCTCCTCCTCCGTGGTGCTGACACTGCTCCTTCGGGTTGGGGGCAGAGACTGCAAGACATCTGGAAAGAGCCAGCCAGGGACAGGGAACCCTCAGAGCCTCCACCTCTTCTACCCCAACCTCTCCACCCCTCGATACTCTCCATGCTCCATGTTTCTAGATTTCAGAAACTTCTACAAAGGATGAGTCCCATTACTTATCTGTCTCCACTGTGGACACCAGACATGGGGAAGTATGACCCCTCGGCCTCCACCCCACCCTCCCTTCCCTCGCCCTTCCCTCTCTCACCAGTGAGCTCCTCTAGGAAGGCCCGGCAAAGCCTGGCATTTCGGGGCAGCAGGACACAGCTGCCTGCCCTGGCTGCCCACTCCAGCCGCAGGCTCTGCCCTGCTAGGCCCAGCTCGATGCCACTCAGATCATGCAGGGGAACGGCCAGCATTGGCTGCAGCCAGCTAGCTGGAGGCCCACTGTGGAGAGTGAGGGGCCGAATGGGGGAAAAAGTGAGACCCACACGGGGCCCTGACTCATCCCTGGCCACCACCCTGCTGACTCACCTGGTCTCCCCTGTCACCTTGAACATGTAAAGCCTGTGGTCAGACACAACCACAAGACACAGAAATTCCCCAGGGAGGCCTGACACCACCAGCGGCACCTAAGGGGAAGAGGAAGTTGGTGAGAAACAGGAAGAGAAAGCTAGGAAGGTTGCTCCCTCAGAGCTGATGGCCTATGACAGCACCTTTGGTGACCCTCCCCACTGCTCACCCATCCCAGCCTCTCCACCCACCATGCTCTCCTTCCCACCACCCCCCACCTGCTCTCAGACACATGGCAGGCTCTTAGCAGGTTCCCCTGCCTCTCATCCTGTCCCTCCAAGCCCCTCCACACTCTGCTACACTGGGTGCGCCAAGACATAAAACCAGCCACCACTCCCCTGCTTCCAATCCCTCAGTGGCTCCTGCAGCCCTTGGGGTCAAGTTCAAACACTTTGGCACACCCTTGTTGCTCCTGACCTGGTCCTTTCCCAGCTCTTCAGACTCCTCTGGGAGCACCTGCCCCCACCAAGCCCCACACTCTGGCCGCCCCAATCACAGGCAGCCCTCCCCACCAGCTCCTCCCCCAGGCCCCCGTGCATTTGCCGCTTCCTTTCCTGGGACATCCTTGTCCTCACTCCCCAGTAACTTTGCCTGGCCATTACCTTCTCAGGAAAGGGAAGCTTCCCTGGCCCACTGAGGCTGCACCAGATGCCCCCCCAGGGCCTCGGCCTGACTCTTGCACCTTCACACCACATGATCATTGTTCCTCACACCACAATACAAGGTGGAGGGCAAGACTGATTTACTCTAGATCCTTACAGTCTGCAAACGCTAGGTGCCTAACAAAGAGGGCCCACTAACATCATGTTTTTATAATAGTTACAGAAGGTCCCATTACTGAGGTGCTTCTAAACCTCAGCTCTCACTGATGCTGCCGTACTGTGAGGTAGGTATTGCTGTCCTCATTGTATTGGGGCAATGACTGAGACTCAAATACCAAGGAACGTGTCCACAGCCAAAGTGCAAGCAGCTGATGGAGTACAACCTGGAAGCCAGACTTGGAGGTTCCGGAACTACTGCTCTGACACAGATGGCTGAGGAGGAAACAACCGGCACCCTGGTCAGGGAGGGACACGGGGCTGGGCCAGGCTGGCACAGACCTTGATGCAGAACTGGAACTCCTCCTGGGAATCAGTGAACACCTCAACGTCCAGAAAGAGCCGGAGTCGGTGGTCCACAGAGCGGAGGCCACAGCACTCAGGGGCTGGGGGTGGAGGGTGTCAGTTCACCCTGCTGCCACAGCCCCACCTCGCCACCCACCAGAGCCCCTTCCTGCACCCAACACCACCCCTGCCTTGTTTCACCGATACTCACGGGGACTAAGGCTCCCACCTCGGCAGTCACGGGACACGGGCGCCCGAGACAGGGCATTACTGGCCCCGTTGCTGTGGTCGCTGTCACCGGGAGGGTCAGGGTCAGTGCTGGGGGACTGCAAGGGGGCTGGAAACTGCTCTCCCTGTCTCTGCTCGCTGGTCGGGGCTCTCACATCCAGAAGAACCATGTGATCACTACCACAGTTCGGACAAACAGCAGGATATTCTGGAGGGACGGATGGCCACTCCTAGTGAACTCCACACACAGTGCCACAACCCACCACCATGATCATAATGCTCACCAGCTGCTCTCAGGCTCACCTGCGCCCCCATCTCAACTTCACACACTACCCAGTGCTCTCAACCCACCAACTCCCTCAGCAGGCCCGGCTGCTGACCAATCTGTCCCAGCCCACTGAGGGAAGAGCAGACCCAAACCCACGGCCACCACCTCCTTGAAATACATCCCCTCCCCCGATTTCACGCCTGCTCAGAAAGCTAAACCCAACTGGGCCCTCTGATCCCCTCCTATAGCTCTGGGCTCTTCATGTAAACCAATCTCTACCAGCAATGTCTGAAGGCCCCACATCAACAGACTGGGAAGGCAGGGTGCCAGGTTTGGGTCCAATCCCAGCCTCCGACACTTAAAGGCTGTAATCTAAGCAACTATGACAGATCACCTCAACTCTCCATGCCTGTTTTCTTGTCTCTAAAACAGGGATGATGCTAGCATCTACCCCACAGGGCTGTCAGGGTGAGTGAGAAGAATCAAGTAAGAAATTCAGAATGTAAATCAGCAATGAGAGAAGAAACATCCTTTGAGCAGCTGCAATGTCCTGGGCATGTGCTAGATCGATCCTCTGACAGTAGTATCAAAACTCTCCCTATCCCTTTTGGCAAATGAAGAAAGCAAAGATCTAATAACTGAGACTCTCAGCCCAAAACTGTACAACAGGGCGGGAGGAAGGGGGGCTAGCGGCGGCAACTACCATTTACGGAGGACTTTTGTATCAGGCACTGTGCCTGGTGCCTTCTGGTTACATTGAAATCTAACAGAACCACAGAGCAAGTCTATTCTCCTCTTGAGATGAGGTGATTGAAGCTCAAATAAAGGAGAATATAGCACAGGGGAATGTTCAGTAACAATGTCCCCACCATAGGGACCATAGGGGCCACGGACCCCATGGAGCACAGATGGGTCTAGGAGAGAGCAGGGCTATTTCCACTGCACACATTGTGCCACTGGGCCTCTGGGGCCTGCAGCCACCATGAAGTTCAGGGTGGAGAACAGACAGAGGGCCATTTTCTAAATAAACCCCTACTCCAGCTACAGCCAAGAAGGGAAAAATGGCTAACAGAAGTCATGCATTTCAACACAGATGTTATCAAGAATACTTCTTTCTCTGATGAAACACTAAGTTGTTCATCTGAAACCAATATAATATTGTATATAAACTATATATCAATTTAAAAAATAATAAAAGCATAATGCCAAACAAAGAAAAAATTTCTTCTTCTTGCCATGTCTTCAAAAATAGTGCTTTTTAACTAGTCCACAATGGAAAAATCTCTAGTGTTAAAGAAAAGAGTGTGAAGAAATGCCACGAGGCACTACCCGATATCAAGTAGCTTACAAGGTCAGTCAAGGAAGGACGCCCCGTGCCAGCTCCCTGAGCATCTCACTCAACAGTGAAACACACTCAGAGGGCAGCCTACAGCCCCACACTGCGGTGAGGGCTCGTTGGGCTGACACATTAGCCAAAAAAAGGGTAAAAGCCTTCTAGGTTTTTAAAAAGAGTATGTTTAAATACAGTTCCAGAGATTTTATTTCCTGACCTTTAAAAATAAAAAGGATATAACTGTTTCTTCTTTTATTTTTTTTGTAAATTTAACAGGCAGATGATTTTATTTTTCTGCCAGGCAGAGAAGTGGGTCCCCACTCCTTTCTTCCGTGGGGCTCCGCCTCCATACTCCCTCCCTCAAAGCCATCTTCCACTCAGTGTGGGCAGGGAAGTCAAGGGCAGGGCTTGCACCTGTCTTTCGGAACAGAGGCTTCCAGCCTTCCTCACTGTCCAGTCCCAACCTGGGCTCCTCTGGCTTCAACTCATAGCCACAACGTAGACACTGGAGCCTGCCCCCCGGCAGGTCCCTCGCTTCCCCAAGCTGACGCTGGGCTGTGGCGGCTGCTGGGGTCAAAACAGCAAGCAGCTCCTGAAACAGGGATGGCGGCCGCAGCCATGAGCCACAGGGCCCCAGCCTCCCCATCTCTCCTGCCCCCTGGGCCCCTGCTCTGGGCCCCATCACCTGGACAGCTGCATGGGCGTCAGGCTCCAGCACTGCATAGCGACGCAGCTGCCGGTCAGGGCAAATGTACGAAAAGCGCAGAACAAGGACCGGGGCTCTGGGGAGCTGATCTGAGCCCTGCCAAGGAAGAGGGGGACCAGGTAAAAGAGAGTCGGGGTGGGTCACAGAGATTAGGGTTTCGCGGAGTGGAGGAAACCAACAGTTTTGGACTCCACTGAAATGCTTTTGCTGACATCCACGCTCTAGCCCAGAAGCCCTACTCCTGAGCCCATGCCTTTGCCCAGAGCCCCAGTGCCCCCACTCACCTCGGCCACTGGTTGTCTTTGGGTCTGGGTCTCAGGCTCTACCTCAGCTGCCTGCAGACTCTGGAGCTCGAACCGTGCCAGGGTTCGAGCTGCTTGGAGTTCCACCTCAAAGAGGCGGCTGGAAGTGACCCGAAGAAAGCGCTCCCTGCCCTGCATGCCCTCTGGCCCGTCCAGTGGACACACCAATATGGGGCGGCAGAGCTCCACTGAGGAGAGACCAATGGAGGGACCCTGTCAGCAGGGAAAGCTACCCGAGACACTGCCTGACCGTGGGGCAGCCCTCCATCCAAAAGGGGTCAGCCACCCCAAGCTGGGTTTTCCTAATGCTCCCAGACATGCCACCGCCACCAGCCCAGCTGCCCTCAGCCACTGCGCACACACCTTCCACTTCATTCTGCTCCTGCTCTTCCTCCTCTTTTCCCTGCTCCTCCATCTCCTCTTCCTCCTGTGGCTCCAGCGGCACCCTGACCTCCTCTGCCATTTCCGGCAGGGCCTCCTTCTCTGCAGGCAGAGGGTCAGGTGTGGCCTCTGGACTCAGGGCATCTGGGGGCAGTGTGTTGAGAGCAGGGGCCTTGGAGGGAGCCAGAGCAGGGATCCCAGAGGTCTCCAGGTGACTCCTGTACTGCAGCCAGTCACAACCAAACCGTTCCCGGAAGCTGTTCATGAGTTCAAGTTCCCGGTGCTGCTGTACAAACTGTCCTGGGCAGGTGGAGGGGCACACAGCTTAGCAAGCCCATGCCCCACCCCCAGCCCGATGACCCCAGCCCCCTCTGCGAGTGCCCCTCAGGATGAAGTGAAAGGGCGTTCAGTCAGAGAGGCCAAAGGCTCTCTCAGCAGTACGTCTGAAGTGTGTTCCGTGGAACACCAGTCCCGTGTGATTCAGCCCTGCACGGCGCGTGCTGCTTTGCGAGAGTCCCAATACACAGCAGTGTATGTGAGGTCCTCGTGGGTCCTGAAGGAAGGACACCTGATTAACTTTGTTTAACCTAATGTTTCCCATATGAATTTGGCCGTGGCATCCTTCCATTTTGTGACCTTTTGACATCCCACAGAATTAATTTCCTTGAAAACCACTTTGGAAAATGCTGTCAATGAGAGGTCTCTTCTCCTTTCCTCAGACTAAAAGGAAAGGGTAAAGACTAAGAGGTCCTCTACAATGCTCCACACCACCAAAAATAAAATTCCTCCTAACTGGAAGGCTGGAGAGCACTGGACTGGGGCAAAGGGACTGGAGGGTTGTGCTGACTTACCAGCCGGCGAGGGGTCCGGAGTCCGGGGCTCTGCGTCCGTATCACTGGGTTCTGAGATACTTGCCCGCCTCACACGAACTCGGCTCTGAGGTCAGGGAGACAGACAGCATTCTAAGAAAGTCAAGGCTTCCCACCCAGCATCCGTGGCTGCCCATCCCACCTCCCCAAAACACCTCACCCATAGGCAAGGATAGGCCTGACTATTCCCAGCCCATTGACAACCCACAGCCCCCATAAAAGGACCCAACCCCAGGCACAACACAGCCTAGGACACTGTTTACCTTAACCTTACAAAGTGGGGGCTGGGCCACAATGCCTCCCGAAGAGGGGCTGTCACTCAAGTCGGGGCCACCTGAGGTTTCTACGGTACTTCCAACCAGCCAGGGCAGAGGTGAGGCCGTGGAGCTAAGCCCTGAGGATGTAGAGGTCTGGCATGTGACAACACAAAGGGAAAGAGGTCAGAGGTAGAGGCGCACCTCCTCCCTGCCCAAGCTAGCCAAGGGGGCCCTACTCTCCAACTGACAGGAAGACCCCTACCCTGGAAACCCCTCATGTCCCTCAGCTAGGGCCCTCCCCTCCTGTCCTCCCTTATCAATCCTTCACTTCCTCCACACTAACCTGAAAGTCAGTCAGTGACAGGATCTTCCCATCAAGAAGGAACTGAGCAAAGATAAAGAGGGGGCAGTGTTGGTGGGGAGCACGTGCCCAGGGGAGGGGGAGTCCAAACTGGGGGTAGGGACCCTTCCAGCCCTGTTGGGACCCCTAGGCTCACGGGTGGTACTGCATGATAAGCAGCCCTGTTGGGACCCCTAGGCTCACGGGTGGTACTGCAAGGCGCAAGGGAGACCAGCGCCTTGACCCCTCACCTAGGGACAGAGTGGGGACAGGCAATAGGTTATAGGGTGGTGGCAGGGCAGGGCAGGAAAGGCGGAGCAGCGTGGGCCCAGGAAAAGCACTCACACCGGCAGAAGAATCCCTGGCCCGGGGTGACAAGTACTGGGCGACGGTCACTCGGTGTGCAGGGTGGAACCACAGGGGGTTCCCCTCCAGGTAGAGCTGAGGAGCAGGAAGAGGAGACTGAGGTCGGCCTCAGGCCCCCCTGTGTGAGGAAGGGCACTGGCCACATCAGCCTGGGAGGAGGGGGCACGAAGCTGGCTCAGGTCCTTGAAGTGCCCAGGTCGCACCTTGCGGAGCTCAGTCAGCAACCGCAGTGGTGACAGCTCCCTGTGTCCTTCCAGCAGGTTGTATGCCACATCCAGGTGCCGCAGGTTCCGCAGCTGCCCCAGGCCTAGGGCAAGGCCAGAGAAAGGGAAGGGCAGTGCGTGAGCAGGCGGGTGGAGGGGCGGTGGGGAGGGACCAGCGGAAGGACCAGCCTGGGCATCTCAGAGCCCACAGGAGGCTCTGGAGACACATGGGTCAGGGCCACCCTGAATCTCACACTGCCCCCATTCCCCTCCACGTTTGCCCCACCACCGCCCCCACTCACCATGCAGGTTCCGGAGCTCATTGCTTCGAAGTATCAGGGTCCCCAGAACAGCCCCCGAGGGTCCCATTCTTGGCACCACATGCAGGTGGTTATAGGACATGTCCAGATGGCAGAGCTCAGACAAATCCTGAGAGGGGGTGGTGACAAAGATTCTCTCCTGGACCAAACTCTAGCCAGGCTCCTCTGAACCCTCTTCTCGACCAGGCCTCAACCTTGGCATATAAAGACTGCATACTGTCAGCAAAAATGATTCCTACCACAGCTCTACCCACCTGATTGTACAACAAGCACTAGCAGTTTCTAATCAAGGCCAGAGCCCTAGGATGACAATTCCAGCCACCTTACATTCCTGCCTAAAAATACTCAAGGATGCCAGAAAAATTTGGTTTATTTCATCCAACACCTGAAGAGAGGGCCCATTTCCCAGGCTCCACAGGAGGCAGGAGCCTATCCTTGCCAATTAGCAAACCCAGAGGGTTTCAGGAAGATCAATGCCCTCTTCCTGTTTTTTGTAAAGTTCCACTTCCTTGACTTCAGAGAAACTAACCAGAGTTTGGTCAAGGAGAGAATCTGCTCAAGCCCCAGCCATTCTGCCTTCCCACTCCCTCACTCCCCCTTTAAAAGGCCTAGTTACCTCTGCACAAATTGAAGTTGAGTTCATTTCATGCTGAAAAGTTCATTACTGATAAAAATAGTTTTAGTACTGATCAGATATTACAATAGTTTATTACTAATCAAAATCTGTTCTCACCACTCTAATGAATGTCTGGCTGTGTATCTGTGACAGGCAGACATGGGAGAAGGGTTCATCACCATCATCAAAAGCTTCCCTTTTCTGAGCTAGGCACTGGGCTAAAGTGACATCAGATTCTCTTCACAATCATTTTAATACTATAAAAGTAACACCGGTTTGTCTTATGCTAGAGCCTGAGCCCCCAAACAGTACTACCGCCCAGGATGTGGCCCCACCTGGCAGGGGGCAAGAACAAGGGGAGCAAAAGCCAGATTCAGAAGAGGGTCAGAGCAGACTGATGAGAGAGAGGACCTACTGATCCCAGACCCAGCCAGGCAGCTCGTACTCACCATCAGGAAGCCCTTGCAATCCTGGACTTGATTGTGGCTCAGGTTCAAGAAGCGCAGAGCTGACAAAAGATGCTGGGGGGATGGGAAGAAGCAGCAGAGAACTGGACACCCCCAGGTACCCAGCTGGCTCTCCTCCTGAAGGGCCAGTCCCTGTCCTTCCCAAACCCCGTCTCATCTGCGGAACTCACCAGGGAGCTGTCTAAGGCGGTCAGTGAGTTGTAGCTGAAGTCAGCAGAAAGCAGAGCCAGCCAAGGCAGGGCGGAGCACTGATCGCCACCACAGGCTGAGAGCAGCTCCTGAGAGAAGGCGCTCCATGTCTCTCAGCCAATCCCCACACCAAGGCCGCACTCTATTACCCAGCTCCTCGTTCATTTTTTCATATACAAAGCTGGGTCTGGAGATGCAGACTTAAAGAAAGCCCAGGGCCCTATCCTCAAGGAGTTCACTCTGGGCAGAGGGTGGAAGCAGATATGGGAATATTTAAAACAGTATGGCAGGTGTGACCATGACTATACGGCCAGTCACGAGGGAGTGGGAGCACATTAGGGAGTATAAGGACACTGTCTGGAGGGAGGCAGGGAAGGTTACAGAGAGGAGGGAATGTCAGAGCTCGGTTCTCTGTGTTCCTCAGGACAAGGCATCTGGGCTTATGCTACATCCTCCTTACCTCTAAGGCCTGGATGCTCCTGCTGCAAATCAGGGTCTCCAGCTGGGAGTAGATGCCACACAGGCCATGGAGGCAGTGGACAGGAACACCCTGGAGCTATAGCCAGTGGAAGAGGGAGGGAGGAAGACAGAACTTCACAGAAGACAGAGGCCTAAGCCCACCTCCCCTCATGAGAAGGAAAACAGTAACAAAGCCAGCCTTGGTTCATTTAACTTCCCTGAACCAAGCTCAATGGACAAGAGTAGATGCCACATTCACTGTAGACCAACGGCCTGCCCCTCCAATGAAAAGAAGCCATCCCTCTGTCCCCATCCTTAAATATCTGCCTCAAGCTAGGTTTTGTGAACCAACATCCTTCAGTGCGCACCCCATACCTCCAGCTGCCGAAGGGACTTGAAAGGAAAAATCTTGATGGGCCCTGGGAGGCTGGGACAAGGGACATGGACCAGCTAAAAGAAAAAACATAGGTCATTGAGAGCCGGCACATCTCCCCTTCCTTGGCATCTCTTCCTTAGCACAGCTACCCGAGGCTCTCACAGCTTCTGGATCTAGGCCCTGCAGACTTCTGGCACCCATGCCCACAACCCCAGCCTTTGCTTCCACTATTCTCTTGGGCTCTTTGTACATCCTGCTCCATTCCCAATCCAGAACCTTGAGGGAAAGTGTTTTCTGCAGAACATCGAAGAGGAACTGAAGCTGGAGGATGACAGGGGAGTCAGCAGGGTGAGAGGGCAAAGCCACAAAGCCTGTCTGGCCAGGGCCCCATGGTCCCAGGTGCAGCTCAAATACATGGTTCAGCTGCTGCAGCGTGGCAGTCAGCAGGCTCAGTGTGCTACAGCCAGACAGGACAACGTCACCTGCAGGGAGAGGGGCAGACAGGAAGGAGTACGTAATGAAAGGGTCTTCCCCTTTATTCTAAGACTTTGTGACCTCAGGCACATGCACTCCAATCCACACTGTACATTCTCCACTGAAGGATGGAACTTTCCATCTTCTCCCTGCTCAGAAATCTTCAATGGCATCCCTCTATCTTGAAAAAGAGTCCTAACTCTTTAAGCTGATAGATGAGAGTTCATCACTACATGACTCCAGCTGACTTTTCCAATTTTTTTTTCACCATCTGCTTCTTCTAATACATCCCCTTCCATTCTGTCCAGTGCAACACCTACCTCCTCCAAGAATATTTCCCAATATGCAACTGCTTAACTTTTACAATCTCATTATTCATTTTACATTAACATTGATTAGTTGTTATATCTATCTTTTTCTGACTGTAAATGTAATATGCACACTTACAGAAGCCTTCAAACAACACTCAAATGCATGTAGTAGAAAGAATGACCACTTATTACAGCACTGTTATTGTTCTCTATATTAAAACTGCTCTCTGCAATGAAACTGTCATCCTTGAGGGCATCTTGTGGTCACCTTGGTATTCATCACTGTACCTAAAAAGGTACAGCTACAAGATAGGCATAAAGAAATTTCATTAAGTTTTTTTAAACAAGGACAAAGTCAAAGGATGTTTCAGAAATAGCACAGAGAGGTATCCTATATTCTACACCCAGTTTCCCACAATGGTTACATTCTATATGGTACAATAGCAAAACCAGAAAATTGTGATTGTTATATGCATGTCCAGTTCTATGCTATTCTGTCATACATGCAGATTCCTGTAACCAGCACTACAATCAAGACACCAAACAGTCCCATCCATAAAGACCTCTCTGTCTTTATAGTCATAAACACATACGTCCCATCACGCCAACCCCTGAAGCCAAGTCAGATTTTTGCTGAATAAATAATAAAACAAATTCTGCAACCTTACATGAAAGATTTTCTATGTACTAAACAATGATAATAGACACAGACATGGCTCAAGGACTCTTAGCACCCTGTAAGAGCCTCCAAGTCTAGAAGAGGAGATATGTGCACAGTTAATAAAACAAGCCAGAAAGTAAAAACTGCTATAAAGAGAGATTCTACAGATACCATCAGTGGAAGTGCAGAGTGATGGAAGGCAGCTAATATTAATTGGGTAATATGTGGCAGACAACTTTGTTACCTCTTTTAAACTTTATCAGAATCTAAAGAGAAGCACTGTTAGCTGTTTTGTACAGATAAGGGAATTGGGGCTCAGAGAGGTTGAGGATATTTAACTGAGAGCATATAGGTGGTAGAAAGTTGCTACTTCTGCCTGATCTCAAGGTCAAGGCTTGTTCTACCACAACCAATGCCAACCACATAGTGAACAACTACCGTTGGCTCCACTGAGACCAGGTATTGAGGGAAGAAATTATAGTAATGACAGCTATCAATTTTGAGCACTTACTGTATATGCAAACACTGTACTAAATGCTTTACATGAATTAAAGTTAATCCCCACAACAATTGTATTTTAATTTAAATACAAACATTATTCCATTTTGCTAGTGAGGAAAACTGAGGCTCAGAAAGTTTAAATAACTTGGCCAAATTTGAGACAGAGTTGGAATTCCAACCCAGGTGAGTCTTTTCATGCTTTTAACTACACTAAGTTCTTTGCCACCCAATAGTGATTATGACCGGGACCTGGTCTCAGCGACTCACAACCAAGTAAAAATCACTTCCCCCTTAGAGTACCAGAGAACGCAAAAGAGGAAGTGACACTGGAATCTGGCCTCGAAGAATAGCTAAGGGTTGTTGAGACTGTCAAAGACGAAGGACACTGAAGGCAATGGCACTAAATCAAACCCAGGAGGCGAAAAGAAATGAATTCCTTGACACCGAAACCTTCCGACCTTGAACAGCACCCTTACGACCTGAAACAGCTGTAACTCTGTCACTGCTAAGGGGGCGTGTCTCTGTAAAGTGGGGAGCATCTCCACCCGAGCCCCAGTCCACTCACCAGACTCCCGCAGCAGTCCTGCGAGCTTCCAAACCACAGAATCGCGCCGCGCGGTCGTCATGGCTACAGGACGCTGGGGACGGAGCCTGGGGAAAGAGGAAGCGGAAGACCCTCAGGTGGGTGGTAGTATAAAAAGCCCAGGACGTCCGCGTAAACCGAGCCCTCGCTGGAAGAAAAGACAAAAAAAAAAAGAGTGAGGAAAAGCGTTCTTCCGGGTGCCCTTTCGAGGAGCATAAGGCTGATCAGCCGAACTAACCCTATTGTGCTGTCTTCCCACCACCTCTGAAGCACGGCGCCTTTCAAAGGAGGACAGGAAGTCCTACCCCGGAAGTAAGGTGAACAGGGGTGACCACCGGAAAGCACGCCTCCGCTGCCAGTAACCACGCCCTAAGTCGTGCTTACGTGTCGGATCGGGGCGGTGCCGGCATGTTTCGCGTTGGGGCGGTCCCTCCGCGGTACGGGCTGCCAGGGCCTAGACCTCAGCTGCGGAGCTGGGCTCGCAGCACCCCTCCCCTCTGTGGGCCGGGCACTTCTTAGAACGCCCGCTCGGCTCGCCGCGGCCCCTCCAAGGCATTTGAGGAAAACCTGACTCGTTTGCAGAATTGGCAGGGAAGCAAAGATTGGAGAAAGGGGATTTTCTCTTAACTGAGGGAAAGACGTCGTCCATAGCAAACACCCGTTTTCCAGCCTAAGAAAGGAGTTTCTCGGTATCTATTGAAAGAGCTGAGGCTGGCGGAGGTGTCATCCCTGGAGTCCCTGTGACGATTTTTAAAAATCTTACTCCAAACTCATTTTTGCTTTTTCCCTGAGCAATTAATTTCAGACTCTTACTGCGATTGGTAACGCTCCACTAATACCCAGCCCTTTGTTTTTACTGTTTCGTCTCATAACACCTGAATCTAAAAGTTGTTATTATTCCGCATTTGAAAATGAGAAAACGAGTTTACAGAGGCTAGGTTACTTGTGAAGGTCATTCAATTAATAACCGATTGCACCAAGAATGCCAAAGTTTCTTGGTTCTCATTTCACCTGGCTTTCACCTGGCTTCTGGTCAAAAAATGTCAACTACTGAACTAAACTAAGTAAAGAAAAAAATGTCTTTTTAACAGAATTTGATTTTCAGGGAGGGCTGGTTTTTTTTTTTTTCTTTAGTGCAATACCTTTTCTACACGTGAAAAAGTGAATCCTAAGCCAGTTGACAGTAGGAGTAGGGCCACAGTCATCTTTATCCCAAGTTTCAAAATTTGAAGGCTCTTTTATTTTCTAAAGACGAAATATTTGTAATGGCAATCTGTACCCCTAAACCATACAATTTTGCGCTCATGGCATACTATGTTATAAAAGTCAAAAGCAGTGAAGTAGTGCAAGCACGTGAACAGTGAAGCAATATACAATGTAAATAAAGAGTAGGGGCTCAATATATTTTTATTAAATGCAAAACAGTGATGATTATCCATCCCTGTTTATCAGTCATCCGGGACTGAAGAGAGAGATTCTCCATACTGTTACTGTTAAGTGTAACCCAAAAAGAGATTCATTTAAAGGTCCAGATTTTGCAGTCCTTGAAATCTGTTTCAGGGGTGTCTCCCCAGCCCACAGAGCGTTTCTGAGAATTGCTCCATTCATATGGGAAGCACCTGTAGCCAGATTTGTTCTACATGCCCCAGCTTCCCAGAGATGGAAAGCGGGACAAAGAGAGCAGCAAAGAAAGCTGGACTACAGAGAGAGAGAAAAAACATGCACTGAGAGAAGCAACAGAAGACTAAGCAGTTCTTGTTTCCAGCCCCCTTGTGAGGCCCACTCCCCTTTCTGCCCTTAGCCTGCAGGATTTGGCAAACTTCCAAAGAATCCCTCCGCCCCTTTTTTCGCCTAAGAGTGTTTCCATAAATTGCTGCCATTAGAACCTTGACTAAGATAAAAACCTTCTTAAAAATAAAAGTGTGAAAAGGAAAAAAATTATCCCATTCACTATAACAAAAAAAAAAGATAATATATCTAATACATCTTGAGAAATATGCCAGATCTATATGAAGAAAACCAGAGAACTGTTAAGGACATTAAAAATTACCTGAGTAAATGAAAAGACATCATGCTCCTGAAGATTCAATATTATGTCAATTTAATGCAATTCCCATCAGAATCCCAATGGGAAGGTTTTGGAACTTAAGTTGATTCTCAAATGCCTCTGGAAGACTAAACACATGAACACAGACAAGACAGTCGGAGGAAAAGAACACGAGGCACTAAAAGGGGCCTTGCCCTACAAGATAGCAAAATGTTCTATCAAGTCACAGTAACCAAACCAGCATGATACTGACACAGAGATAGACGAACACAGGCATGCTTTGTTTTATGCATTTCACAGATAACTGTGGAATTTTTTTACAATTTGAAGGTTTGGGGCAACCATGCATTGAGCAAGTCTTCCAGCACCATTTTTCCAACAGCAATTTGCACATTTTGTGTCTTTGTGTCACATTTTGGTAATTCTCACAATATTTCAGACTTTTTCATTGTTATTACATTTGTTAGGGTGATCTGTGATCAGGGATTGAGACTTGCTGAAAGCACAGATGATGGTTAGCACTTTTTAACCATAAAAGTTTTTAATTAATCTACGTGCATTATTTTTTTAGACAATGCTATTGCATACTTAATAGACTACAACATAGTGTGAACATGACTTTTATACTCACTGGAGACCAAAAAATTCATTTGACTTAATTTTTTTTGCAGTATTTGCTTTATTGCAGTAGTCAGGAGCCAAATCCACAATGTCTCTGAGGTATGCCTGTATTGATAGATTAATGAAACAGTACAGAAATTACCATGACTACATGGGAATTTCTTTTTGCTATACATAAAATTTAATGATATAAATAATGAGTTGTTCAGTAGTTTTTGGGACCTTGAGCTGTCTATCTGGAAAAAGCTAAGTTCCTTCCCTCACACCATACTCATTAAGTTCTAGAAAGATTAAAGAGCTAAACTTATTTTTTAATTTAAGTCTAAGGACACCATAAAGATTGAAGGTCAAATTCACTGCTTAAAGAATTATTATCTTTATTAAAAAGGCATGCAATGCCATTTCAAAAAAGATCTGTCTTTAGAAAGTATATAACATATATGCCTGCTATTGCATCATCTCATATTACCATGAATGAAATTGTGTTTCTTAAAGAAATGCTATGATATCATGCTCTTAACTTATAAACACTTTTCTGAGTTTTATTCTCCAAGAGTAACATTCTGCCTGAAATCAGAAATGCTCAGCTGGCCTTTCCAAGCACTTGACCAGGACCTCCCGGCACAGTGCTGGATCTGGTACTGGAGAGGCACGCTTCGTCTCCCTCAGGCTCCACCCCCACATCACTGTGTGAGCGGAAGTGTAAGTTAAAAGCAGCTGCCACTGGGAGCTTCCCTGACACCCCTATGCTCCCTGGGTAGCCTCTCCAAAATGCTTGTGATGAAAGGAGTAAGGAAAGGTGAACTAGTTACTAGCTTTGGCAGCAGGAATGGAAAGAAGGGAAGAAAGTGTATCTTCATTTAAAAATGAGAAAATCAGCTACCAGAGAATACAGACTCAGCATCCTGCTTGTTTCTGATACCTTGGAGCATGCAAGCCCCTGGATTATTGCCCATAGAGGAACAAAAATAATAGTTCATCTTAGGACAGGAGCCATTGTCCTGGATCTGGACCCCTCTGCTGTGGTGCTACAGCCTCCTACAGCAGATTGGGTGGCCGAGACCCAGGGATGCCTCCAAAATGAAAATTTCACACTTGAAATTGGGTTGTGGGTGCAGAGGGTGAAACTGGATGATCTGCTTGTTTCAATTACTATTTTCATGGAGTGGGAAAGGACAAATGGAAGAGAATGAAGAGGTGTGACTACTACCTGTAAAAATAGAGTTTTGGTAAAAGAGTTTCTACTAGATAGGACTCCCTGTACCTGGTGCCCACACCCTGGGATTGAGTGGTCAGAGGCAGTTCTTTCTACATAAATTACCACACATTGTATCTGCTACAGACCTAGCCACAAATGACTAGCCCAGGAACTGGCCCAGTCACCAGGATCAAACATATGGGACAAATCAGCAGCACTGGAGAAGGCCTGACATGAGGCCTCTGTGTTAGACCATGACCGAGCAAGCCCACCAGAGCCTGGTTCCAGGACAGACTGAACTCGAGGCACATGGAGGGAAAGCCAGAGAAGCAGTAGCCAAGCTCAATGCGAAATAAGAGAAGCCAAGGCCGGAGAATGGCTGACCGAAAAGGAAGCAACAAAATAACAATATTCCAGTGACCCAGCAGCAGCTGTGGTCTCCCAGCCTGAAAGCACTTGGCAGTTCTGCACGATATTAACTGAGGAATTCCCTGAGCGGCTTTATAGTAAACCTGAGGTCATGGGAAAGCGCCTTTCTTTTCATTGCCTATCTCGGCAACCCAGGGAATCATCTGAGAAGGGGTTAAGACCGGCTATAAGAAAGATGTGCTTGGTTCAGAACACAAAGAGGAAAAGATGAGATGAAGACTACAAACCCCGTTTCAGGCTGGTTGGAAAAGAGCAGAAGCCCCGATAGGAAATGAGTAGAATATGGGGCTATAGCGAAGAGAGGAGAGGAATAACAAATCACCGTTTCAGGCATAACCCACAAGGGCAGTTGGCAAAGTCAGCTGTGTACATGACACGGGGCTTCCATTTCAGTTCTCCCTGCACGCAGGACTGGGAAGAGGGGGAATGGTCCACAGCAAGGGAGGAAGTTGCAAATGGCATAGCAAATAGACCTGCAATGTGAAACATGGTGGGGTTGGGGGGTGGGGAGGAAGGAAGCAAGAGAAGTGCGACCGAAGTGCTTAGGGTCCCCAGGGCTGGGGAAGAGGAAAGGCTGCTTTGGAATGTCAGAGCCTCTGTAAAACCTCAAAGTTAGAGCAGCCTTTCACTCTTTCATTCGTTCAGCAAATATTTACTGAACCCTGACTGTATACCAGATTCTGTGCTGGATTCCAGTAAATAAGGGAGACAACAGTGTGGCTCTTGTTCTCAAGAAGCTGGCAGTGTGATAGGACAGATCCCAACAATCACATTTCAGCATTGTGTTCGCTTCCTATTGATGCCGTAAAAAGTTACACTGAACTTAGTTGCTTTAAACAACACACATTTATTATATTATCTGAAGGTCATAAGTCCAAAATGGATCTCACTAGGCTAAATTTAAGGTGTCAGCAGGATTGCATTCCTCTCCAGAGGCTCCATGGGACAATCTGTTCCCCTGTCTTTTCTAGCTTTGAGAGGCTGCCCACCTTCTATCCTCACA